GTGGACAGTTCTGGGGAGTGGACTATCCTGGGGAGTGGACCATCCTGGGGAGTGGACCATCCTGGGGAGTGGAATATCCTATGGAGTGGACCATCCTGGGGAGTGGAATATACTGGGGAGTGGACTATCCTGGGGAGTGGACCATCCTGGGGAGTGGACCATCCTGGGGAGTGGACTATCCTGGGGAGTGGACCATCCTGGGGCGTGGACCATCCTGGGGAGTGGACTATCCTGGGGAGTGGATCATCATGGGGAGTGGACCATCTTGGGGAGTGAACCATTCTGGGGAGTGGACCATTCTGGGAGTGACTATCCTGGGGAGTGGACCATCCTGGGGAATGGACCATCCTTGGGAGTGGACCATCCTGGGGAGTGGACTATCCTGGGGAGTAGACTATCCTGGGGAGTGGACTATCCTGGGGAGTGGACCATCCTGGGGGGTAGACTATCCTGGGGAGTGGACTATCCTGGAGAGTGGACCATCCTGGGAAGTGGACTATCTTGGGGAGTGGACCATCCTGGGGCGTGGACCATCCTGGGGAGTGGACTATCCTGGGGAGTGGACCATCATGGGGGGTGGACCATCTTGGGGAGTGGACCATCCTGGGGAGTGGACCATTCTGGGGAGTGGACTATCCTGGGGAGTGGACCATCCTCGGGAGTGGACCATCCTGGGGAGTGGACCATCCTGGGGAGTGGACTATCCTGGGGAGTAGACTATCCTGGGGAGTGGACCATCCTGGGGAGTGGACTATCCTGGGGAGTGGACTATCCTGGGGAGTGGACCATCCTGGGGAGTGGACTATACTGGGGAGTGGACTATCCTGGGGAGTGGACTATCCTGGGGAGTGGACTATCCTGGGGAGTGGACTATCCTGGGGAGTGGACCATCCTGGGGAGTGGACCATCCAGGGGAGTGGACCATCCTGGGGAGTGGACCATCCTGGGGAGTGGACTATCCTGGGGAGTGGACCATCCTTGGGAGTGGAATATCCTGAGGAGTGGACCATCCTGGGGAGTGGACCATTCTGGGGAGTGGACTATCCTGGGGAGTGGACTATCCTGGGGAGCGGACCATCCTGGGGAGTGGAATATACTGGGGAGTGGACTATCCTGGGGAGTGGAATATCCTGAGGAGTGGACCATCTTGGGGAGTGGACCATCCTGGGGAGTGGACCATTCTGGGGAGTGGACTATCCTGGGGAGTGGACCATCCTGGGGAGTGGACCATCCTGGGGAGTGGACCATCCTGGGGAGTGGACTATCCTGGGGAGTGGAATATCCTGGGGAGTGGACCATCCTGGGGAGTGGACCATCCTGGGGAGTGGACAGTTCTGGGGAGTGGACTATCCTGGGGAGTGGACCATCCTGGGGAGTGGACCATTCTGGGGAGTGGACTATCCTGGGGAGTGGACCATCCTGGGGAGTGGACCATCCTGGGGAGTGGACCATCCTGGGAGTGGACTTATCCTGGGAGTGGAATAATCCTGGGGAGTGGACCATCCTGGGGAGTGGACAGTTCTGGGGAGTGGACTATCCTGGGGAGTGGACCATCCTGGGGAGTGGACCATCCTGGGGAGTGGACCATCCTGGGGAGTGGACCATCCTGGGGAGTGGACCATCCTGGGGAGTGGACCATCCTGGGGAGTGGACCATCCTGGGGAGTGGACTATCCTGGGGAGTGGACCATCCTTGGGAGTGGAATATCCTGAGGAGTGGACCATCCTGGGGAGTGGAATATCCTGGGGAGTGGACTATCCTGGGGAGTGGAATATCCTGGGGAGTGGACCATCCTGGGGAGTGGACCATCCTGGGGAGTGGACAGTTCTGGGGAGTGGACTATCCTGGGGAGTGGACCATCCTGGGGAGTGGACCATCCTGGGGAGTGGAATATCCTATGGAGTGGACCATCCTGGGGAGTGGAATATACTGGGGAGTGGACTATCCTGGGGAGTGGACCATCCTGGGGAGTGGACCATCCTGGGGAGTGGACTATCCTGGGGAGTGGACCATCCTGGGGCGTGGACCATCCTGGGGAGTGGACTATCCTGGGGAGTGGATCATCATGGGGAGTGGACCATCTTGGGGAGTGAACCATTCTGGGGAGTGGACCATTCTGGGGAGTGGACTATCCTGGGGAGTGGACCATCCTGGGGAATGGACCATCCTTGGGAGTGGACCATCCTGGGGAGTGGACTATCCTGGGGAGTAGACTATCCTGGGGAGTGGACTATCCTGGGGAGTGGACCATCCTGGGGGGTAGACTATCCTGGGGAGTGGACTATCCTGGAGAGTGGACCATCCTGGGAAGTGGACTATCTTGGGGAGTGGACCATCCTGGGGCGTGGACCATCCTGGGGAGTGGACTATCCTGGGGAGTGGACCATCATGGGGGGTGGACCATCTTGGGGAGTGGACCATCCTGGGGAGTGGACCATTCTGGGGAGTGGACTATCCTGGGGAGTGAACCATCCTGGGGAGTGGACCATCCTGGGGAGTGGACCATCCTGGGGAGTGGACTATCCTGGGTAGTGGACCATCCTGGGGAGTGGAATATCCTGGGGAGTGGACCATCCTGGGGAGTGGAATATACTGGGGAGTGGACTATCCTGGGGAGTGGAATATCCTGGGGAGTGGACCATCCTGGGGAGTGGACCATCCTGGGGAGTGGACAGTTCTGGGGAGTGGACTATCCTGGGGAGTGGACCATCCTGGGGAGTGGACCATCCTGGGGAGTGGAATATCCTGGGGAGTGGACCATCCTGGGGAGTGGACCATCCTGGGGAGTTGACCATCATGGGGAGTGGACCACCCTGGGGAGTGGACCACCCTATGGAGTGGACCACCCTGGGGAGTTGCCCACCCTGGGTAGTGGACTATCCTGGGAAGTGGACCACCCTGGGGAGTGGACCACCTTGGAGAGTAGACCATCCTGGGGAGTGGACCATCCTGGGGAGTGGACCATCCTGGGGAGTGGACTATCCTGGTGAGTGGACCATCCTGGGGAGTGGAATATCCTGGGGAGTGGACCATCCTGGGGAGTGGAATATACTGGGGAGTGGACTATCCTGGGGAGTGGAATATCCTGGGGAGTGGACCATCCTGGGGAGTGGACAATTCTGGGGAGTGGACTATCCTGGGGAGTGGACCATCTTGGGGAGTGGACCATCCTGGGGAGTGGACCATCCTGGGGAGTGGACCATCCTGGGGAGTGGACCATCCTGGGGAGTGGACCATCCTGGGGAGTGGACCATCCTGGGGAGTGGACCATCCTGGGGAGTGAACCACCCTGGGGAGTGGACCACCCTATGGAGTGGACCACCCTGGGGAGTTGCCCACCCTGGGTAGTGGACTATCCTGGGGAGTGGACCACCCTGGGGAGTGGACCACCCTGGAGAGTAGACCATCCTGGGGAGTGGACCATCCTGGGGAGTGGACCATCCTGGGGAGTGGACCAACCTGGGTAGTGGACCAACCTAGGTAGTGGACCAACCTAGGTAGTGGACCAACCTAGGTAGTGGACCAACCTAGGTAGCGGACCAACCTAGGTAGTGGACTAACCTAGGTACTGGACCAACCTAGGTAGTGGACTAACCTAGGGAGTGTACTAACCTAGGTAGTGGACTAACCTAGGTAGTGGACTAACCTAGGTAGTGGACTAACCTAGGTAGTGGACTAACCTAGGTAGTGGACTAACCTAGGTAGTGGACCAACCTAGGTAGTGGACTAACCTAGGTAGTGTACTAACCTAGGTAGTGGACTAACCTAGGTAGTGGACTAACCTAGTTAGTGTACTAACCTAGGTAGTGGACTAACCTAGGTAGTGGACTAACCTAGGTAGTGGACTAACCTAGGTAGTGGACTAACCTAGGTAGTGTACTAACCTAGGTAGTGGACTAACCTAGGTAGTGGACTAACCTAGGCAGTGGACTAACCTAGGTAGTGGACTAACCTAGGTAGTGTACTAACCTAGGTAGTGGACTAACCTAGGTAGTGTACTAACCTAGGTAGTGTACTAACCTAGGTAGTGTACTAACCTAGGTAGTGGACTAACCTAGGTAGTGTACTAGCCTAGGTAGTGTACTAACCTAGGTAGTGTACTAACCTAGGTAGTGTACTAACCAAGGAGTGTACTAACCTAGGTGTGTACTAACCTAGGTAGTGGACTAACCTAGGTAGTGGACTAACCTAGGTAGTGTACTAACCTAGGTAGTGGACTAACCTAGGTAGTGTACTAACCTAGGTAGTGTACTAACCTAGGTAGTGGACTAACCTAGGTAGTGTACTAACCTAGGTAGTGTACTAACCTAGGTAGTGTACTAACCTAGGTAGTGTACTAACCTAGGTAGTGGACTAACCTAGGTAGTGGACTAACCTAGGTAGTGTACTAACCTAGGTAGTGGACTAACCTAGGTAGTGTACTAACCTAGGTAGTGGACTAACCTAGGTAGTGTACTAACCTAGGTAGTGGACCAACCTGGGTAGTGTACTAACCTAGGTAGTGTACTAACCTAGGCAGTGTACTAACCTAGGTAGTGTACTAACCTTGGTAGTGTACTAACCTAGGTAGTGGACTAACCTAGGTAGTGTACTAACCTAGGTAGTGGACTAACCTCGGTAGTGTACTAACCTAGGTAGTGTACTAACCTAGGTAGTGTACTAACCTAGGTAGTGGACTAACCTAGGTAGTGGACTAACCTAGGTAGTGGACTAACCTAGGTATTGTACTAACCTAGGTAGTGTACTAACCTAGGTAGTGTACTAACCTAGGTAGTGCACTAACCTAGGTAGTGTACTAACCTAGGTAGTGCACTAACCTAGGTAGTGTACTAACCTAGGTAGAGGACCAGCCATAATACTAGTGAAAACTTCTTGACTTAAATAATTGTCCCTACCCTCCTCTTCCTAGGATCAAACCAGATTACCTCCCATTCCCCAGGCGCTGCAAAACCCATATGTGCTTAGCGCTCCCCCCTCGAACGTAAAATAACAATACTTACCAATACAAGCTTCGGTATATAGGATAAACTTATGAGGGAAGCGCTCGTGTGTCTGGTCCAGGAGCTGTGGTCCATGGCCCAGGTCAGTGTACCAGTGGACCGCTACGCCATCTATGTACCTCGCTGCATCCTCATCAGATAAAATCTTCACCACAGGAGAAGATAAACTGAACTTCAAAACACTCAACCTACTCACCATACAAAACATCCATACTTATTATTGCACTTATTACATACATAGAACACTTAACTCTGATATTAACCCTCCCCTCAAACATCTCCTTGCCAACCTCAACAGAACACATGACCATAACACAAGGCACAGATCACTCTTTGATGTTCCTCGTGTCCATCTCACACTATGCAAAAACTCAATGCACATAAAAGGCCCTAAAATCTGGAATTCATTACCTGTAAATATAAAAGAAACACTACCTGTTTATAAATTCAAGTCTCTTCTCAAAGATCACTTACTCACCCAAAACCAAATAAATACTGAATAACTGAACCTTATAAATTGTATATCTTAAATGTTTCTCACAATTATATCACATAAATGTTAAACCTAAAACCCAATCTAACAGAATACTCCATTCTAGTGAATGTACAGCAATGCATGCAACCATATGACCTGTCTTTGTAATACTCACTTGTGCTTTATAGTTATCTGTTTACAATAATGTCTTATCACTGATTTCATCATTGCTTAGTTAATCTTAAGTTAATTTTAAGCCAGCCCGTAATGCTATGCATATAAGTGGCTTTGGCATGCTGCTCTTACCTGTATTTTTTTGTACCTCTGTATGTATGCTCAAATTACTAAATAAATATATAAATAAATAAATAACTTACCTCTGGGACGTACCAGAGAAGAGCGTCTCTGTTTTCATCTCCTACCATGACCTTGAGGCGTCCCAGACCAGCGGCCTCCAGGGTGGGTCCCAGACTCTCCTTTATCCAGTCCCTCATGTTTTCGCTCTTCCAGTAGAGTGAGTTCCACTTCTGAAGGTACAGTATTGGGAATTGAAGAGCGAAAAGTGCCGTGGCTGGAACAATACACACATAACCAGCAAATAGGAAAGAGGAGCTTACGACAACGTTTCGGTCTGACTTGGACTGTTTGTAAGTCATATTTGTTGATGGTCCAAGTCGAACCGAAACGTCAAAGTAAGCTTCTCTGTCCAATGTGCGGGTTATTTGTGAAGTGACGTAATGAAAAAGGATTCAGCCTAAAAGATAATTTTTCTTGCAGTGTTTTGAGTCTACGCGAGTTGCTAAGGCAGGCCTATCAACTTCCACCCAGCAGTGGTCAATTTAGCCACATGGAAATCAAGAAATCTCTATTACCTGGAGTTTACCTGGAGAGAGTTCCGGGGGTCAACGCCCCCGCGGCCCGGTCTGTGACCAGGCCTCCTGGTGTATCAGAGCCTGATCAACCAGGCTGTTACTGCTGGTTGCACGCAATCCGGCTGGTCAGGTACCGACTTAGGTGTTTGTCCAGTGCCAGCTTGAAGACAGCCAGGGGTCTATTGGTAATCCCCCTTATGTATGCTGGGAGGCAGTTGAACAGTCTCGGGCCCCTGACATTTATTGTATGGTCTCTTAACGTGCTAGTGACACCCCTGCTTTTCATTGGGGGGATGTTGCATCGTCTTCCGAGTCTTTTGCTTTCGTTCTGAGTGATTTCGTGTGCAAGTTCGGTACTAGTCCCTCTAGGATTTTCCAGGTGTATATAATCATGTATATCTCCCGCCTGCGTTCCAGGGAGTACAGGTTCAGGAACTTCAAGCGTTCCCAGTAATTGAGGTGTTTTTAATTTCCTCGTGTTTACCATATCGGAGTAATTGAAATTTCTCATCGTTGAACTTCATATTGTTTTCTGCAGCCCACTGAAAGATTTGGTTGATATCCGCCTGGAGCCTTGCAGTGTCTGCAATGGAAGACACTGTCATGCAGATTCGGGTGTCATCTGCAAATGAAGACACGGTGCTGTGGCTTACATCCTTCTCTATGTTAGATATGAGGATGAGAAACAAGATGGGAGCGAGTACTGTGCCTTGTGGAACAGAGCTTTTCACCGTAGCAGCCTCAGACTTGACTCTGTTGACTACTACTCTCTGTGTTCTGTTTGTGAGGAAATTATAGATCCATCTACCAACTTTTCCTGTTATTCCTTTAGCACGCATTTTGTGCGCTATTACACCATAGTCACACTTGTCGAAGGCTTTTGCAAAGTCTGTATATATTACATCTGCATTCTTTTTGTCTTCTAGTGCATCTAGGACAATGTCGTAGTGATCCAGTAGTTGAGACAGACAGGAGCGACCTGCTCTAAACCCATGTTGCCCTGGGTTGTGTAACTGATGGGTATCTAGATGGGTGGCGATCTTGCTTCTTAGGACCCTTTCAAAGATTTTTATGATATGGGATGTTAGTGCTATCGGTCTGTAGTTCTTTGCTATTGCTTTACTGCCCCCTTTGTGGAGTGGGGTTATGTCTGTTGTTTTTAGTAACTGTGGGACGACCCCCGTGTCCATGCTCCCTCTCCATAGGATGGTAAAAGCTCGTGATAGGGGCTTCTTGCAGTTCTTGATGAACACGGAGTTCCACGAGTCTGGCCCTGGGGCAGAGTGCATGGGCATGTCATTTATCGCCTGTTCGAAGTCATTTGGTGTCAGGATAATATCAGATAGGCTTGTGTTAACCAAATTCTGTGGCTCTCTCATAAAAAAATTCATTTTGATCTTCGACTCTCAGTCTGGTTAGCGGCTTGCTAAAAACTGAGTCATATTGGGACTTAAGTAGCTCACTCCTTTCCTTGCTGTCATCTGTGTAGGACCCATCTTGTTTAAGTAGGGGCCCAATACTGGACGTTGTTCTCGACTTTGATTTGGCATAAGAAAAGAAATACTTTGGGTTTCTTTCGATTTCATTTATGGCTTTTAGTTCTTCCCGCGATTCCTGACTCCTATAAGATTCCTTTAGCTTAAGTTCGATGCTTGCTATTTCTCTGACCAGTGACTCCCTACGCATTTCAGATATATTGGCCTCTTTTAGCCGCACTGTTATTCTTTTCCGTCGCCTGTAAAGGGAGCGCCTGTCTCTTTCTATTCTACATCTACTCCTCCTTTTTCTTAAAGGAATAAGCCTTGGGCATACATCGAGTGCCACCGAGTTAATTTGTTTTAGGCATAAGTTGGGATCTGTGTTGCTTAGTATATCTTCCCAGCTTATATCGTTTAGGACTTGATTTACTTGGTCCCACTTTATGTTCTTGTTATTGAAGCTGAATTTGGTGAAGGCTCCCTCGTGACTAATCTCATTTTATAGGAGCAGTAGAAGAATAACAATGAATCCGTGATAACATTGCAGTCTTACCGTGACAATTATTTTTTATCATACATTGAGGTAAGCACTTACGATAGGTTCTTCTCCTCCAGCGTGGTTTTGTGTAGTCAGTCCCCACAGTTTGACACCCTCAGCCTCATACGTCTTAACGAACCTGTTAAAGGATACTGGTATACTGTTAGCCCTCATACACATACACAGTGTTCCTTTATACTATCAGACCTCATACACATATATAGTATACCAGTATATACTGTCAGACCTCATACAAACATAGTGTACCAGTATACTGTCAGCCCTTATATATATATATATATATATATATATATATATATATATATATATATATATATATATATATATATATATATATATATATACACATACACACATACACACAGGGTACTAGTATACCGTCAGCCCTCATACACACACACAGGGAACTAATACACTGTCCGCCCTATACACACACACAGGGTACTAATACACTGTCAGCCCTCATACACACACAGGGTACTAATACACTGTCAGCCCTATACACACACACAGGATACTAATACACTGTCAGCCCTATACACACACACAGGGTACTAATACAGTGTCAGCCCTCATACACACACAGGGTGCTAATAGACTGTCAGCCGCATACACACACACACAGAGTACTAATACGCTGTCAGCCCTCATATACATACAGGGCACTAATACACTGTCAGCCCTCATACACACACAGGGTACTAATACACTGTCAGCCCTATACACACACACACAGGGTACTAATACACTGTCAGCCCTCATACACACACAGGGTACTAATACACTGTCAGCCCCACACACACACACACACAGGGTACTAATACACAGTCAGCCCTGATACACACACAGGGTACTAATACACTGTCAGCCCTGATACACACACAGGGTACTAATACACAGTCAGCCCTGATACACACACAGGGTACTAATACACTGTCACCCCTGATACACACACAGGGTACTAATACACTGTCAGCCCTATATACACATACAGGGTACTAATACACTGTCAGCCCTCATACACATACAGCGTACTAATACACTGTCAGCCCTGATACACACACAGGGTACTAATACACTGTCAGCCCTATATACACATACAGGGTACTAATACACTGTCAGCCCTCATACACATACAGGGTATTAATACACTGTCAGCCCTGATACACACACAGGGTACTATTACACTGTCAGCCCTATATACACATAAGGGTACTAATACACTGTCAGCCATATACACATACAGGGTACTAATACACTGTCAGCCATATATACACATACAGGGTACTAATACACTGTCAGCCATATATACACATACAGGGTACTAATACACTGTCGGCCATATATACACTACAGGGTACTAATAAAACTGTCGGCCATATATACACATACAGGGTACTAATACACTGTCGGCCATATATACACATACAGGGTACTAATACACTGTCAGCCATATATACACATACAGGGTACTAATACACTGTCAGCCATATATACACATACAGGGTACTAATACACTGTCAGCCATATATACACATACAGTGTACTAATAGACTGTCAGTCCTCACACGCAGAATACCAATACATCGTCAGTTCCCTTAATGTCAGAAAATAAACCGCAACAATTCGTGAACAACAGAATCAGCACTTAAAGGAGAGTCTAACACCACTTCTGACACCAAAAATAAGGCGACAGTAAAGGACCAGGTAATTTTATTATGCCAATAAATATTTTTAAACAAAAAATGTTCTGCAAGTATCTTTTTATCGATTTTATTATGTGTCGAAGGAGCTCGCAATGTAAGATCCGAAGGGACTCTTACCAAATAATTATAAAATCGCTAACCAATCCTAGAACGGGTGGGATTGGAACCCATGGCGAGTGGGTGCTGAAACTCACTGGTCTGAGAGGTTTTAGAGCCCACTTGCCATGGGTTCGAACCTCATTCTTTTAGTGGTCTGAAGGATTATTATTATTATTATAATCATGGGGGAGCGCTAAACCCGTAGGATTATACAGCGCATGCAGGGGGGGGGGGATGGAAGGTATTCAGGCTCAATTCAGGGAACTGGAGCACAGATCCAATTCCCTAGATCAAGAGCCCCTCACCAGCGTCAAGGAACCTCCCTTGAGGGGAGTGATCTGAAGGAAGGGGTCGATGTGGTGTTCTCTGCGGCGTCTGGGATAATAACAAAGGAACCAGATGAAAAAGAAGAACAACAAGAAGCGGACAACATTCAATATAGAGTGAACCGGACGCAGCAACACCGACGGGACCTGGAGTTTACCTGGAGTTTACCTGGAGAGAGTTTCGGGGGTCAACGCCCCCGCGGCCCGGTCTGTGACCAGGCCTCCTGGTGGATCAGCGCCTGATCAACCAGGCTGTTGCTGCTGGCTGCACGCAAACCAACGTACGAGCCACAGCCCGGCTGATCAGGAACTGCCTTTAGGTGCTTGTCCAGTGCCAGCTTGAAGACTGCCAGGGGTCTGTTGGTAATCCCCCTTATGTGTGCTGGGAGGCAGTTGAACAGTCTCGGTCCCCTGACACTTATTGTATGGTCTCTTAACGTGCTAGTGACACCCCTGCTTTTCATTGGGGGGATGGTGCATCGTCTGCCAAGTCTTTTGCTTTCGTAGTGAGTGATTTTCGTGTGCAAGTTCGGTACTAGTCCCTCTAGGATTTTCCAGGTGTATATAATCATGTATCTCTCCCTCCTGCGTTCCAGGGAATACAGGTTTAGAAACCTCAAGCGCTCCCAGTAATTGAGGTGTTTTATCTCCGTTATGCGCGCCGTGAAAGTTCTCTGTACATTTTCTAGGTCGGCAATTTCACCTGCCTTGAAAGGTGCTGTTAGAGTGCAGCAATATTCCAGCCTAGATAGAACAAGTGACCTGAAGAGTGTCATCATGGGCTTGGCCTCCCTAGTTTTGAAGGTTCTCATTATCCATCCTGTCATTTTTCTAGCAGATGCGATTGATACAATGTTATGGTCCTTGAAGGTGAGATCCTCCGACATAATCACTCCCAGGTCTTTGACGTTGGTGTTTCGCTCTATTTTGTGGCCAGAATTTGTTTTGTACTCTGATGAAGATTTAATTTCCTCATGTTTACCATATCTGAGTAATTGAAATTTCTCATCGTTGAACTTCATATTGTTTTCTGCAGCCCACTGAAAGATTTGGTTGATGTCCGCCTGGAGCCTTGCAGTGTCTGCAATGGAAGACACTGTCATGCAGATTCGGGTGTCATCTGCAAAGGAAGACACGGTGCTGTGGCTGACATCCTTGTCTATGTCGGATATGAGGATGAGGAACAAGATGGGAGCTAGTACTGTGCCTTGTGGAACAGAGCTTTTCACCGTAGCTGCCTCGGACTTTACTCTGTTGACGACTACTCTCTGTGTTCTGTTAGTGAGGAAATTATAGATCCATCGACCAACTTTTCCTGTTATTCCTTTAGCGCGCATTTTGTGCGCTATTACGCCATGGTCACACTTGTCGAAGGCTTTTGCAAAGTCTGTATATATTACATCTGCATTCTTTTTGTCTTCTAGTGCATTTAGGACCTTGTCGTAGTGATCCAGTAGTTGAGACAGACAGGAGCGACCTGTTCTAAACCCATGTTGCCCTGGGTTGTGTAACTGATGGGTTTCTAGATGGGTGGTGATCTTGCTTCTTAGGACCCTTTCAAAGATTTTTATGATATGGGATGTTAGTGCTATTGGTCTGTAGTTCTTTGCTGTTGCTTTACTGCCCCCTTTGTGGAGTGGGGCTATGTCTGTTGTTTTTAGTAACTGAGGGACGACCCCCGTGTCCATGCTCCCTCTCCATAGGATGGAAAAGGCTCGTGATAGGGGCTTCTTGCAGTTCTTGATGAACACAGAGTTCCATGAGTCTGGCCCTGGGGCAGAGTGCATGGGCATGTCATTTATCGCCTGTTCGAAGTCATTTGGCGTCAGGATAACATCGGATAGGCTTGTGTTAATCAAATTTTGTGGCTCTCTCATAAAAAATTCATTTTGATCTTCGACTCTCAGTCTGGTTAGCTGATTAAGTTTATTCAGGTATACACAAATACAGTTACATAGATTATCATACATAGCAGCATGTGTGTAGACAACCTGGGATGACACAAAACAGAGTGACTTATTAGGATTGTATTAAGTTAAAGGACACAAGTGCAACTAATGCCACATTAAAATGTAATATCAGTTGGACTTGTGTCCTTTTATCTAACATATTGTGGGTAATTCTAATATTATTACAACCACATGACCTGACAAAGTTACCATCAGGATATACTCCAGGTATACTCCAGGTATACTCCAGGTATACTCCAGGTATACCCCAGGTATACTCCAGGTATACCCCAGGTATACTCCAGGTATACCCCAGGTATACTCCAGGTATACCCCAGTTTATCTGAAGGAAGAAGCTGAAACCCTGTGTTCATTACTAGTATACAACTCGTAAAGTAAAAGGACACAAGTGCAACTAATGTGACATTTTATTGTGGCAACGTTTCGCTCTCCAGGAGCTTTGTCAAGCCGTTACAAACAGTACATGGAAAGCGAAACATTGCCACAATACTGTCGGTAATTCTACCAACATTATTACAATATACAACTCGTCGATATTATACTTAAAACTGGAAGACTGCCAGATGATGGAAAATAGTTCGTAATGTATATTTTTCCAAAACTAAGAGGCTTTTGGAGATCTTAATATTAACATAGACTTCTTAATACGAAGAACTGAAACTACCCTTCCCCTTACTCGGATCAAACTCGATTATCTCCCAGAATATGACCGAGAATAACACGTACAGTTTGTAATACCCTAAGTGTATGTGAGAGTTATCATAGATAGCATATCTGACCACGATAACGGATGAAGTCAGTATCGACACTTTTAGTCTCTCTGAGCTGGTAATCTATATTCTCCGCTTAATTTTTGACATCATGAAGGACCTACGAGAGAGATAATATTTAATATGTGAGCGAGAGACCACTTTTTTTAACAATAATAATATATCTTTATTTACTACCAGTACATGTACAAGGTATACAGACCATAGTTGACATCAATGACATACTACTATATAGAAAGCCGCTTGTTATGCTGAGCATTTCCCGCAAATTGTCAGTTTTGTCCCAGGATGCGACCCACACCAGTCCACTAACACCCAGGTACCTATTTTACTGATGGGTGAACATAGATAACTGGTATAAAGAAACACGCCCAATGTTTCTACCCTCGCTGCGAATCGAACCCGGACACTCACCGTGAAGCAAAGCTTTAGCCACCAGGCCACGGGGCTACCGATGTTACTAGCCATTGTAAATACTAGACTCTATCTTAACTTGTAAATACTAGACTCTATCTTAACTTGTAAATACAAGACTCTATCTTAACTTGTAAATACAAGACTCTATCTTAACTTGTAAATACAAGACTCTATCTTAACTTGTAAATACAAGACTCTATCTTAACTTATAAATACAAGACTCTATCTTAACTTGTAAATACAAAACTCTATCTTAACTTGTAAATACAAGACTCTATCTTAACTTGTAAATACAAGACTCTATCTTAACTTATAAATACAAGACTCTATCTTAACTTGTAAATACAAGACTCTATCTTAACTTGTAAATACAAGACTCTATCTTAACTTGTAAATACAAGACTCTATCTTAACTTGTAAATACAAGACTCTATCTTAACTTGTAAATACAAGACTCTATCTTAACTTGTAAATACAAGACTCTATCTTAACTTGTAAATACAAGACTCTATCTTAACTTGTAAATACAAGACTCTATCTTAACTTGTAAATACAAGACTCTATCTTAACTTGTAAATACAAGACTCTATCTTAACTTGTAAATACAAGAGTCTATCTTAGCTTGTAAATACAAGACTCTATCTTAACTTGTAAATACAAAGCTCTCTCGTTGCTTGTAAATTCAACAGTATATATAGGGAAAAGATTAGTGCAAAATCAGGACAATGTTTATCATTCATTACCTCTGTAACTTGCTCAGCTATCAAAACTTTGGAGTCCAGTCCCTGGACCCATTATGTACCTCTGTAATCTTTTGACTACCGCCCACACCATGGGTATGGGGTGGATAATAAACATATTAAACTAAAAATGTGGAACTTACTTGAGCAGGTAGTTGGACCAAGGCTGCCACATCTCAGGCAACAGTTCCCCGCTTTCGTTGAGTTTCCTGTTGGTTTTCATCCATGCTGGAGGTGCCCAGGGTGAGGCGAATATCCTCAGACTCCTCTACTCAGCTCTTGGGCCCGCTGGATCAGAGGTAGCTGGTGGAATATGTTTATATGCTAAATGTGGGGTCTCGTAATGAGCTAAGGGGATTCACTGCCACTCACAGGATGAGTTGTGGGTTTACTGCCACTCACAGGATAAGTTGGGATTCTCTGCCACTCACAGGATGAGTTGTGGGCTCACTACCACTCACAGGATGAGTTGGGGTTCACTACCACTCACAGGATGAGTTGGGGTTCACTACCACTCACAGGATGAGTTGGGGTTCACTGCCACTCACAGGATGAGTTGTGGGTTCACTGCCACTCACAGGATGAGTTGGGGTTCACTACCACTCACAGGATGAGTTGGGGTTCACTGCCACTCACAGGATGAGTTGTGGGTTCACTGCCACTCACAGGATGAGTTGGGGTTCACTACCACTCACAGGATGAATTGGGGTTCACTGCCATTCACAGGATGAGTTGGGGTTCACTGCCACTCACAGGATGAGTTGGGGTTCACTACCACTCACAGGATGAGTTGGGGTTCACTGCCATTCACAGGATGAGTTGGGGTTCACTGCCACTCATAGGATGAGCTGGGGTTCACTACCACTCACAGAATGAGCTGTGGGTTCACTACCACTCACAGGATGAGTTGGGGTTCACTACCACTCACAGAATGAGTTGGGGTTCACTGCCACTCACAGAATGAGCTGTGGGTTCACTACCACTCACAGGATGAATTGGGGTTCACTACCACTCACAGAGTGAGTTGGGGTTCACTGCCGCTCACAGGATGAGTTGTGGGTTCACTGCCACTCACAGGATGAGTTGTGGGTTCACTGCCACTCACAGGATGAGTTGGGGATTCACTACCACTCACAGGATGAGTTGGGGTCCACTGCCATTCGCAGGATGAGTTGGGGTTCACTGCCACACAGGATGAGTTGTGGGTTCACTACCACTCACAGGATAAGTTGGGGTTCACTACCACTCACAGGATGAGCTGTGGGTTCACTACCACTCATAGGATGAGGTGGGGTTCACTACCACTCACAGGATAAGTTGTGAGTTCATTACCACTCACCGAATGAGCTGTGGGTTCACTACCACTCACAGGATGAGCTGTGGGTTCACTACCACTCATAGGATGAGTTGGGGTTCACTACCACTCACAGGATGAGTTGTGGGTTCATTACCACTCACAGAATGAGCTATGGGTTCACTACCACTCACAGAATGAGCTGTGGGTTCACTACCACTCACAGGATTAGCTTGGGGGTTCACTACTATTATCACAAGCAAGCTCTAAAACCGTAAGGGGGTTACACAGCTTCATCAGAGCAACGATACTGGCGCCCTTCCCCCTCCAGCTTCACTGTGACTAGTTAATGGTGCAAGTCGGGGCGAAACGTTGTCACGAGTTCCAGTCTCCTGTGAGAACGTTGTGTGTGTCTACACAGGGCGAAACATCATCCTTTCACCTAAAAATGGTCTTATTTTTGTAAACCCGTGTTCCTTCACACGAGCCTAAAACAATTGATATTTTTTCCTAGACCGACAAAACATGGTTTTTAAAACCCGTTTTCTTAAGCACGAGCCTAAAAAATTATATTTTTTCCTAAACCGAAAAAAAAATGGTTTTATCCTTTTTTTCCTTAATATGAAAAACGAGCCTAAAACAATTTATATTTTTTCCTAAACCAAAATAAATATATTTTTAAACCCATTTTCCTTCATACGAGCCTAAAACAATTTACATTTTCTTCCATCTCCAAGACTGACCTTATAGAGTTTGTCCTCGTCAGCCAGGGCGAAGGACTCGAGGAGGAGGTCGTCCTCGACGAGGTCTGCGTACGAGTACGGCCTCACTGAGAAGTCCGTACCAGCGATGGGTACTCGACACAGGTCGTACTCCACACCGTCCGGCCCGAAGTACGACCTGTTAACAGGTAGACCAAAATAACAGGGACCTGTTAACAGGTAGGGCAAGATAACAGGTAGACCAAGATAACAGGGACCTGTTAACAGATAGAGCAAGATAACAGGTGCATGTTAACAGGTAGAGCAAGATAACGGGTACCTGTTAACAGGTAGAGCAAGATAACAGGGACCTGTTAACAGGTAGACCATGATAACAGGGACCTCTTAACAGGTAGACCAAGATAACAGGTACCTGTTAACAGGTAAAGCAAGATAACAGGGACCTGTTAACAGGTAAACCAAGATAACAGGGACTTCTTAACAGGTAGAGCAAGATAACAGGTGCCTGTTAACAGGTAGAGCAAGATAACAGGGACCTGTTAACATGTAGACCAAGATAACAGGGACCTGTTAACAGGTAGAGCTAGATAACGGATGTCAGTTAATAGGTAAATCAAGATAACAGGGATCTGTTAATAGGTAGACCAAGATAACAGGGACCTGTTAACAGGTAGAGCAAGATAACGGATGCCTGTTAATAGGTAGATCAAGATAACGGGTACCTGTTAACAGGTAGAGCAAGATAACGGTGTCTGTCTCCATTAACAAGTGTTAATTGCACTTTGCCATATAAGATACTGGGGCCTGGCAGGCGACGCTCTCGCCTCACACACACTGAGTGTCCGTGGTTCGATCCCCGGCACGGGTGAAAACATTGGGGGGGTGTCCTTACACTGGCTGTCCATGTTCACCTAGTAAGCAAGTAGGTACCTGGGTGTTAGCTGACTGGTGTAGGTGGCATCCTGGGGGACAAAATTAAGGATCACAATGGAAATAAGACAAACAGTCCTTGATGACACACTGACTTTCTTGGGTTTTCCTGGGTTGCTAACCCTCCGGGGTTAAAAATCCGAACAAAATCTTTTCTCACCTCATCAGCAGGTCCTGGGCTGGGGCAGAGAGAGTTGCTATGTTAATCCCAGCAGAGTCAGTAAAGGCACCACCAAATCCTAGCATAGTCTGGCCAGGTTCCTCCACCAACACTCTCAACAGTGCTGAACCTGTGACACCAGTATTTTATTAAACTAACTTTTGTAACACAGTTTACTACCAGTCTTAAGAGCCACGTAAGGTCCTCAGTCTTCTAATAACATGTTCATTTTTCCACTATAATCTACCTTGTTCATAATTACTATCGTCCTTGTTTTGTCTGTTTCGTAAGTGAAGTCTAAGATGTTTCTTTAATTCATGGTATAACTTAACTAACTTTTGAGGACGACTGTGTTGTTCAGACCTCTGCAACACAACTGCTCAGACCTCTGCAACACAATTACTCAGACCTCTGCAACACAATTACTCAGGCCTCTGCAACACAATTACTCAGACCTCTGCAACACAATTACTCAGACCTCTGCAACACAATTACTCAGACCTCTGCAACACAATTACTCAGACCTCTGCAACACCATTGCTCAGACCTCTGCAACACAACTGTTCAGACCTCTGCAACACAACTGCTCAGACCTCTGCAACACAATTACTCAGACCTCTGCAACACAATTGCTCAGACCTCTGCAACACAATTACTCAGACCTCTGCAACACAACTGTTCAGACCTCTGCAACACAATTGCTCAGGCCTCTGCAACACAATTACTCAGACCTCTGCAACACAATTACTCAGACCTCTGCAACACAATTACTCAGACCTCTGCAACACAATTACTCAGACCTCTGCAACACCATTGCTCAGACCTCTGCAACACAACTGTTCAGACCTCTGCAACACAACTGCTCAGACCTCTGCAACACAATTACTCAGACCTCTGCAACACAATTGCTCAGACCTCTGCAACACAATTACTCAGACCTCTGCAACACAATTGCTCAGACCTCTGCAACACAACTGTTCAGACCTCTGCAACACAACTGCTCAGACCTCTGCAACACAACTGTTCAGACCTCTGCAACACAACTGCTCAGACCTCTGCAACACAATTACTCAGACCTCTGCAACACAATTGCTCAGACCTCTGCAACACAATTACTCAGACCTCTGCAACACAATTACTCAGACCTCTGCAACACAATTACTCAGACCTCTGCAACACAATTACTCAGACCTCTGCAACACAATTACTCAGACCTCTGCAACACAATTGCTCAGACCTCTGCAACACAATTACTCAGACCTCTGCAACACAATTACTCAGACCTCTGCAACACAATTACTCAGACCTCTGCAACACAACTGTTCAGACCTCTGCAACACAATTACTCAGACCTCTGCAACACAACTGCTCAGACCTCTGCAACACAACTGCTCATATCTCTGCAACACAATTGCTCAGACCTCTGCAACACAACTGTTCAGACCTCTGCAACACAATTACTCAGACCTCTGCAACACAATTGCTCAGACCTCAGCAACACAACTGCTCAGACCTCTGCAACACAACTGCTCAGACCTCTGCAACACAATTGCTCAGGCCTCTGCAACACAACTGTTCAGACCTCTGCAACACAATTACTCAGACCTCTGCAACACAATTACTCAGACCTCTGCAACACAACTGCTCAGACCTCTGCAACACAACTGTTCAGACCTCTGCAACACAATTACTCAGACCTATGCAACACAACTGTTCAGACCTCTGCAACACAATTACTCAGGCCTCTGCAACACAACTGCTCAGACCTCTGCAACACAACTGTTCAGACCTCTGCAACACAATTACTCAGACCTCTGCAACACAACTGCTCAGACCTCTGCAACACAATTGCTCAGACCTCTGCAACACAACTGTTCAGACCTCTGCAACACAATTACTCAGACCTCTGCAACACAATTACTCAGACCTCTGCAACACAACTGCTCAGACCTCTGCAACACAATTGCTCAGACCTCTGCAACACAACTGCTCAGACCTCTGCAACACAACTGCTCAGACCTCTGCAACACAATTGCTCAGACCTCTGCAACACAACTGCTCAGACCTCTGCAACACAATTGGTCAGACCTCTGCAACACAACTGCTCAGACCTCTGCAACACAATTGCTCAGACCTCTGCAACACAACTGTTCAGACCTCTGCAACACAATTACTCAGACCTCTGCAACACAATTACTCAGACCTCTGCAACACAATTACTGAGACCTCTGCAACACAGTTACTCAGACCTCTGCAACACAATTACTCAGACCTCTGCAACACAATTACTCAGACTCTGCAACCCATTACTCAGACCTCTGCAACACAATTACTCAGACCTCTGCAACACAATTACTCAGACCTCTGCAACACAATTACTCAGACCTCTGCAACACAATTACTCAGACCTCTGCAACACAATTACTCAGACCTCTGCAACACAATTACTCAGACCTCTGCAACACAATTACTCAGACCTCTGCAACACAATTACTCAGACCTCTGCAACACAATTACTCAGACCTTTGCAACACAATTCTACTCAAAGATTATTTAAGTTATACCGTGAATTGAGGAAAGATCCTGGACTTCACTTACGAGACACAGTAAATACGATAGTAATTATGGACGAGGTAGATTATAGTGGAAAAATGAACATGTTATTAGAAGACTGGGGACTTAGGTGCCTCTTAAGACACATGTGCAACAGTTGGGTATCTTTACTGTTAAAATGTTTCGCCTACACAGTAGGCTTCTTCAATCAAATGTAGAGGCAGCAGGTGTAGTAATGAAATGAAGATGATGGAATCAGTCCCTCAACCTTGAAGAAACAGTATTCGAGGTGATCAGTCCCCCAGACCATGGAGTTGAACTCTTCTCCAGGCTGAGGGACTGATTATATCATCGTTATTTCATTATGTTTCCTGTATATCTAGGAATGTTATTTTCTTAAATTTAGGTTAGGTTAAGTTAACTTTGGGCAGGTTAGGTAATGGTCGGTTAGGTTAAGTTAGGTTAACTTAGGGTTGGCTACGTAAGGTTCAGTTAGGTTTGGTTAAGTTAGGTTAACTTAGGGGAGGTTACGTTAGGTTAGATTAACTTAGGATAGGTTAGGTTAGGTAAGGTTAAGTTAGGTCAATGTAGGGCAGGTTAGGTTAGGTTAACATAGGGCAGGTTAGGTTAGGTTAACATAGGGCAGGTTAAGTTAGGTTAACATAAGACAGGTTAGGGTAGGTTAACTTAGGGTAGGTTAGGTTAGGTAAGGTTAAGTTAGGTTAACATAAGACAGGTTAGGGTAGGTTAACTTAGGGTAGGTTAGGTTAGGTAAGGTTAAGTTAGGTTAACTCCGAGCAGGCTAGGTTAGGTTAGAGCAGGATAAATAAGGCTCAACTAGATCAGGTTAGGCAGAGTTAGGTTAAGTTAGGTTAGGTTAGGTTAGGTTAGGTTAAGTTAGGTTAGGTTAGGTTAGGTTAGGTTAGGTTAGGTTAGGTTAGGTTAGGTTAGGTTAAGTTAGGTTAGGTTAGGTTAGGTTAGGTTAGGTTAGGTTAGGTTAGGTTAGGTTAGTTAGGTTAGGTTAGGTTAGGTTAGGTTAGGTTAGGTTAAGTTAGGTTGGTTAGGTTAGGTTAGGTTAGGTTAGGTTAGGTTAGGTTAAGTTAGGTTAGGTTAGGTTAGGTTAGGTTAGGTTAGGTTAGGTTAGGTTAAGTTAGGTTAGGTTAGGTTAGGTTAGGTTAGGTTAGGTTAGGTTAGGTTAGGTTCACTTGTGTTATTATTATTATTATTATTAATTATTATTATTATTATTATTATTATTATTATTATTATTATTAATTATTTTATTATTATTATATAACCTGGGAAACGCTAAAATCAGAACCTACATATCGCCATATATCCGAGGAAGGGAAGGGGAGCTCCATTTCCAGGGATCAAGAACCCTGCACCAGCATCAAGGGACCGCCTCTCTTTAGGGGGGTGGGGGTCGAACCGAGGGACACTCCAACTCACCTTGGTCAGGTGAGTCTTGTAACTCATGAGTCTCTGTGAGGAACCTGTGGCCCTCTCTGGAGGAGGTCACAACGGTGTAGTGACCTGGGTCAGGTAAGGTCACTGGTCCAGGAAGGTCACAGTAGTGGGCGTCACACACACATACCACACTGTCAGACCCGTAGTTCCGTGGTACACAGTTCTTGTCACCTGAAAAAATGAAGGAATGTCGAGGTGAAGGTCGTGGAATTTAGGATACAATGCTAGGCTTCAAGACTAGGTATGACAAGGCCATAAGAGGCTTGAAATACATGATAGTAGGACCAGGAGCTATGACTTGACCCCTGCAACTACAAATAGGTGAACTGAGCACCAGTGAAGAGAAGGGGCCAGGAGCTATGAATCAACCCCTGCAACCACAATAAGGTGAGTACACACACACACACACCAGTGAAGAGGCGGGGCCAGGAACTGGAGTTTACCTGGAGAGAATTCCGGGGGTCAACGCCCCCGCGGCCCGGTCTGTGACCAGGCCTCCTGGTGGATCAGAGCCTGATCAACCAGGCTGTTACTGCTGGTTGCACGCAATCCAACGTACGAGCCACAACTCGGCTGGTCATGTACCGACTTTAGGTGCTTGTCCAGTGCCTGCTTGAAGACTGCCAGGGGTCTATTGGTAATCCCCCTTATGTATGCTGGGAGGCAGTTGAACAGTCTCGGGCCCCTGACACTTATTGTGTTGTCTCTTAACGTGCCAGTGACACCCCTGCTTTTCATTGGGGGGATGGTGCATCGTCTGCCAAGTCTTTTGCTTTCGTTGTGAGTGATTTTCGTGTACAAGTTCGGTACTAGTCCCTCTAGGATTTTCCAGGTGTATATAATCATGTATATCTCCCGCCTACGTTCCAGGGAATACAGGTTTAGGAACCTCAAGCGGTCCCAGTAATTGAGGTGTTTTATCTCCGTTATGCGCGCCGTGAAAGTTCTCTGTACATATTCTAGGTCAGTAATTTCACCTGCCTTGAAAGGTGCTGTTAGTGTGCAGCAATATTCCAGCCTAGATAGAACAAGTGACCTGAAGAGTGTGGAGTGTGGAGCTGTGAATCGACCCTTGCAACCACAAATAGGTGAGTACATACATATATTCACACACACGAAGAAAAGTTTAGGAATATCGGTCTGACGACACTAGAGGACAGGAGGGTCAGGGGAGACATGGCAACGACATATAAAATACTGCGAAGAATTGACAAGGTGGACAAAGACAGGATGTTCCAGAGATGGGACACAGAAACAAGGGGCCACAATTGAAAGTTGAAGACTCAAATGAGTCAAAGGGATGTTAGGAAGTATTTCTTCAGTCATAGAGTTGTCAGGCCGTGGAACAGTCTGGAAAGTAACGTAGTGGAGTAGCGATCAGTGAAGAGGCGGGGCCAGGAGCTATGACTCTACCCCTGCAACCACATAGGTGAGTACAAATAGGTGAGTACATACCAATCAGTTCTGACAAAGCCTCACTATGATCTCTATAATCCATTTCCTCGGGTCAAGACTAAGGGACTGATCACCTATCAATCCTGGGGGACTGACCACCTTCTATCAAGCCTGAGGGACTGATCACCTATCAATCCTGGGGGACTGACCACCTTCTATCAAGCCTGAGGGACTGATCACCTATCAATCCTGGGGGACTGATCACCTTCTATCAAGCCTGAGGGACTGATCACCTTCTATCAAGCCTGAGGGACTGATCACCTTCTATCAAGCCTGAGGGACTGATCACCTTCAATCAAGCCTGAGGGACTGACCACCTTCTATCAAGCCTGAGGGACTGATCACCTATCAATCCTGGGGGACTGATCACCTTCTATCAAGCCTGAGGGACTGATCACCTTCTATCAAGCCTGAGGGACTGATCACCTTCTATCAAGCCTGAGGGACTGATCACCTTCAATCAAGCCTGAGGGACTGACCACCTTCTATCAAGCCTGAGGGACTGATCACCTATCAATCCTGGGGGACTGATCACCCTCTATCAAGCCTGAGGGACTGATCACCTTCTATCAAGCCTGAGGGACTGATCACCTATCAATCCTGGGGGACTGATCACCTTCTATCAAGCCTGAGGGACTGATCACCTTCTATCAAGCCTGAGGGACTGATCACCTTCTATCAAGCCTGAGGGACTGATCACCTTCTATCAAGCCTGAGGGACTGATCACCTATCAATCCTGGGGGACTGAACACCCTCTATCAAGCCTGAGGGACTGAGCACCTTCTATCAAGCCTGAGGGACTGATCACCTATCAATCCTGAGGGACTGATCACCTTCTATCAAGCCTGAGGGACTGATCACCTTCTATCAAGCCTGAGGGACTGACCACCTTCTATCAAGCCTGAGGGACTGATCACCTATCAATACTGGGGGACTGATCACCCTCTATCAAGCCTGAGGGACTGATCACCTTCTATCAAGCCTGAGGGACTGATCACCTATCAATCCTGGGGGACTGATCACCTTCTATCACGCCTGAGGGACTGATCACCTTCTATCAAGCCTGAGGGACTGATCACCTTCTATCAAGCCTGAGGGACTGATCACCTTCTATCAAGCCTGAGGGACTGATCACCTACCAATCCTGGGGGACTGACCACCTTCTATCAAGCCTGAGGGACTGATCACCTTCTATCAAGCCTGAGGGACTGATCACCTTCTATCAAGCCTGAGGGACTGATCACCTACCAATCCTGGGGGACTGACCACCTTCTATCAAGCCTGAGGGACTGATCACCTATCAATCCTGGGGGACTGACCACCTCAAAATTGCTTCTCCACTCTCTCCAGCAAATATTCACTATTAGACTGAAAAAGCCCATTAATCTCCTCACAGAATTATCTAACAAAACCTAGAAATACGTAAGAATAAGCAAACATTTGCTAATTTTATGAATAGTTGGTGAGTTCAGACAACTCACTCACAAATTTTAAAGAATGATATATTACCAGTCATTCTGAGAAAATAAATCATGAATTTGCGTATTAAAATAATTAGAAAAGAGACAAAATAAGTACGACCTTGAGCCTGGAGCGAGTTAAGCAGCAACAACACGAGCAGTGAGATGCGTACATCCATGTTGAAGGTCAGAGTAACACTGATCTTCCTGCCTTGGTCTGTTGCCTTTATAATATACCAGGGTCACTGTTACTGCCTTGGTCTGTTGCCTTTATAATGTACCAGGGTCACTGTTACTGCCTTGGTCTGTTGCCTTTATAATGTACCAGGGTCACTGTTACTGCCTTGGTCTGTTGCCTTTATAATGTACCAGGGTCACTGTTACTGCTTGGTCTGTTGCCTTTATAATGTACAGGGTCACTGTTACTGCCTTGGTCTGTTGCCTTTATAATGTACCAGGGTCACTGTTACTGCCTTGGTCTGTTGCCTTTATAATGTACCAGGGTCACGTTACTGCCTTGGTCTGTTGCCTTTATAATGTACCAGGGTCACTGTTACTGCCTTGGTCTGTTGCCTTTATAATGTACCAGGGTCACTGTTACTGCCTTGGTCTGTTTGCCTTTATAATGTACCAGGGTCACTGTTACTGCCTTGGTCTGTTGCCTTTATAATGTACCAGGGTCACTGTTACTGCCTTGGTCTGTTGCCTTTATAATGTACCAGGGTCACTGTTACTGCCTTGGTCTGTTGCCTTTATAATGTACCAGGGTCACTGTTACTGCCTTGGTCTGTTGCATTTATAATGTACCAGGGTCACTGTTACTGGCTTGGTCTGTTGCCTTTATAATGTACCAGGGTCACTGTTACTGCCTTGGTCTGTTGCCTTTATAATGTACCAGGGTCACTGTTACTGCCTTGGTCTGTTGCCTTTATAATGTACCAAGGGTCACTGTTACTGCCTTGGTCTGTTGCCTTTATAATGTACCAGGGTCACTGTACTCTGCCTTGGTCTGTTGCATTTATAATGTACCAGGGTCACTGTTACTGGCTTGGTCTGTTGCCTTTATAATGTACCAGGGTCACTGTTACTGCCTTGGTCTGTTGCCTTTATAATGTACCAGGGTCACTGTTACTGCCTTGGTCTGTTGCCTTTATAATGTACCAGGGTCACTGTTACTGCCTTGGTCTGTTGCCTTTATAATGTACCAGGGTCACTGTTACTGCCTTGGTCTGTTGCCTTTATAATGTACCAGGGTCACTGTTACTGCCTTGGTCTGTTGCCTTTATAATGTACCAGGGTCACTGTTACTGCCTTTGGTCTGTTGCATTTATAATGTACCAGGGTCACTGTTACTGGCTTGGTCTATTGCCTTTATAATGTACCAGGGTCACTGTTACTGCCTTGGTCTGTTGCCTTTATAATGTACCAGGGTCACTGTTACTGCCTTGGTCTGTTGCATTTATAATGTACCAGGGTCACTGTTACTGCCTTGGTCTGTTGCCTTTATAATGTACCAGGGTCACTGTTACTGCCTTGGTCTGTTGCATTTATAATGTACCAGGGTCACTGTTACTGGCTTGGTCTGTTGCCTTTATAATGTACCAGGGTCACTGTTACTGCCTGGTCTGTTGCCTTTATAATGTACCAGGGTCACTGTTACTGCCTTGGTCTGTTGCATTTATAATGTACCAGGGTCACTGTTACTGGCTTGGTCTGTTGCCTTTATAATGTACCAGGGTCACTGTTACTGGCTTGGTCTATTGCCTTTATAATGTACCAGGGTCACTGTTACTGCTTGGTCTATTGCCTTTATAATGTACCAGGGTCACTGTTACTGCCTTGGTCTGTTGCCTTTATAATGTACCAGGGTCACTGTTACTGCCTTGGTCTGTTGCCTTATAATGTACCATGGTCACTGTTACTGCCTTGGTCTGTTGCCTTTATAATGTACCAGGGTCACTGTTACATGCCTTGGTCTGTTGCCTTTATAATGTACCAGGGTCACTGTTACTGCCTTGGTCTGTTGCATTTATAATGTACCAGGGTCACTGTTACTGGCTTGGTCTGTTGCCTTTATAATGTACCAGGGTCACTGTTACTGGCTTGGTCTATTGCCTTTATAATGTACCAGGGTCACTGTTACTGCCTTGGTCTGTTGCCTTTATAATGTACCAGGGTCACTGTTACTGGCTTGGTCTATTGCCTTTATAATGTACCAGGGTCACTGTTACTGCCTTGGTCTATTGCCTTTATAATGTACCAGGGTCACTGTTACTGGCTTGGTCTGTTGCCTTTATAATGTACCAGGGTCACTGTTACTGCCTTGGTCTATTGCCTTTATAATGTACCAGGGTCACTGTTACTGCCTTGGTCTGTTGCCTTTATAATGTACCAGGGTCACTGTTACTGCCTTGGTCTGTTGCCTTTATAATGTACCAGGGTCACTGTTACTGCCTTGGCTGTGCCTTTATAATGTACCAGGGTCACTGTACTGCCTTGGTCTGTTGCCTTATAATGTACCAGGGTCACTGTTACTGCCTTGGTCTGTTGCCTTTATAATGTACCAGGGTCACTGTTACTGCCTTGGTCTGTTGCCTTTATAATGTACCAGGGTCACTGTTACTGGCTTGGTCGGCTGGCTTTATAATGCACCAGGGTCACTGTTACTGGCTTGGTCTGTTGCCTTTATAATGTACCAGGGTCACTGTTACTGGCTTGGTCTGTTGCCTTTATAATGTACCAGGGTCACTGTTACTGGCTTGGTCTGCTGGCTTTATAATGTACCAGGGTCACTGTTACTGCCTTGGTCTGCTGGCTTTATAATGTACCAGGGTCACTGTTACTGGCTTGGTCTGTTGCCTTTATAATGTACCAGGGTCACTGTTACTGGCTTGGTCTGCTGGCTTTATAATGTACCAGGGTCACTGTTACTGCCTTGGTCTGCTGGCTTTATAATGTACCAGGGTCACTGTTACTGGCTTGGTCTGCTGCATTTATAATGTACTAGGGTCACTGTTACTGCCTTGGTCTGCTGGCTTTATAATGTACCAGGGTCACTGTTACTGCCTTGGTCTGCTGGCTTTATAATGCACCAGGGTCACTGTTACTGGCTTGGTCTGTTGCCTTTATAATGTACCAGGGTCACTGTTACTGGCTTGGTCTGCTGGCTTTATAATGCACCAGGGTCATTGTTACTGGCTTGGTCTGCTGGCTTTATAATGTACCAGGGTCACTGTTACTGCCTTGGTCTGCTGGCTTTATAACGTACCAGGGTCACTGTTACTGGCTTGGTCTGCTGGCTTTATAATGTACCAGGGTCACTGTTACTGGCTTGGTCTGCTGGCTTTATAATGCACCAGGGTCACTGTTACTGGCTTGGTCTGCTGGCTTTATAATGTACCAGGGTCACTGTTACTGCCTTGGTCTGTTGGCTTTATAATGAACCAGGGTCACTGTTACTGGCTTGGTCTGCTGGCTTTATAATGTACTAGGGTCACTGTTACTGCCTTGGTCTGCTGGCTTTATGATGTACCAGGGTCACTGTTACTGGCTTGGTCTGCTGGCTTTATAATGCACCAGGGTCACTGTTACTGCCTTGGTCTGCTGGCTTTATGATGTACCAGGGTCACTGGTACTGGCTTGGTCTGCTGGCTTTATAATGTACCAGGGTCACTGTTACTGCCTTGGTCTGCTGGCTTTATATTGCACCAGGGTCACTGTTACTGCCTTGGTCTGCTGCCTTTATAATGTACCAGGGTCACTGTTACTGGCTTGGTCTGCTGGCTTCATAATGCACCAGGGTCACTGTTACTGGCTTGGTCTGCTGGCTTTATAATGTACCAGGGTCACTGTCACTGCCTTGGTCTGCTGGCTTTATAACGTACCAGGGTCAATGTTACTGGCTTGATCTACTGGCTTTATAATGTACCAGGGTCACTGTTACTGCCTTGGTCTGCTGGCTTTATAATGTACCAGTGTCACTGTTACTGGCTTGGTCTGCTGGCTTTATAATGTACCAGGGTCACTGTTACTGCCTTGGTCTGCTGGCTTTATGATGTACCAGGGTCACTGTTACTGGCTTGGTCTGCTGGCTTTATAATGCACCAGGGTCACTGTTACTGGCTTGGTCTGCTGGTTTTATGATGTACCAGGGTCACTATTACTGGCTTGGTCTGCTGGCTTTATAATGTATCAGGGTCACTGTTACTGCCTTGGTCTGCTGGCTTTATAATGCACCAGGGTCACTGTTGCTGCCTTGGTCTGCTGCCTTTATAATGTACCAGGGTCACTGTTACTGGCTTGGTCTGCTGGCTTTATGATGTAACAGGGTCACTGTTACTGGCTTGGTCTGCTGGCTTTATAATGTACCAGGGTCACTGTTACTGCCTTGGTCTGCTGGCTTTATAATGTACCAGGGTCACTGTTTCTGCCTTGGTCTGGTGGCTTTATAATGTACCAGGGTCACTGTTACTGCCTTGGTCTGCTGGCTTTATAATGCACCAGGGTCACTGTTACTGGCTTGGTCTGCTGGCTTTATGATGTACCAGGGTCACTGTTACTGGCTTGGTCTGCTGGCTTTATAATGTATCAGGGTCACTGTTACTGCCTTGGTCTGCTGGCTTTATAATGCACCAGGGTCACTGTTGCTGCCTTGGTCTGCTGCCTTTATAATGTACCAGGGTCACTGTTACTGGCTTGGTCTGCTGGCTTTATGATGTAACAGGGTCACTGTTACTGGCTTGGTCTGCTGGCTTTATAATGTACCAGGGTCACTGTTACTGCCTTGGTCTGCTGGCTTTATAATGTACCAGGGTCACTGTTTCTGCCTTGGTCTGGTGGCTTTATAATGTACCAGGGTCACTGTTACTGCCTTGGTCTGCTGGCTTTATAATGCACCAGGGTCACTGTTACTGGCTTGGTCTGCTGGCTTTATGATGTACTAGGGTCACTGTTACTGATGTTACTGGCTTGGTCTCCTGACTTTATAATGTACCAGGGTCACTGTTACTGGCTTGGTCTGCTGGCTTTATAATGTACCAGAGTCACTGTTACTGGCTTGGTCTGCTGCCTTTTTAATGTACCAGGGTCACTGTTACTGCCTTGGTCTGCTGGGTTAATAATGCACCAGGGTCACTGTTACTGGTGTTACTGGCTTGGTCTGCTAGGCTAATAATCTATCTACTACACCAGGGTCACTGTTACTGGCTGGGTTAATTATCTACTACACCA